AGAGAACTGCAGAATTTTATTGCTGGAAGAAATTTTAGAGATTGTCTAATTTAAATCTCTTATTCATTTTGTAGATAATATCACTAAAAGCTCATAAATAAATATGATGAACTAACTTACAAATACCAGAAGGAGAGCAGGCCTTCAAATGAATCTTTACGTAATTCGGTCAAATGATTTTCACTGAGAATTCTGGAAAATGAAAAGGTTATTTCTGGATCAAAATGCAAACTAACAACAACTGTTTGCTACACAGGACTAACTCCTATCTGAGGAGGAAACCTGGGTCATGGTGCCACCTGAATGTCCTAATTCTGATTTAATTTCAAGATGGCAATGTCTGCTCTGTTTTCAAACCTTTTTTCACGTTCTCCATTTTGTGTGCATCTCTCTCCACCACACACACACACACACACACACACACACACACCTACATGCACACACCCCTACTCGCTCTTCCCTCCAAATTTATATTTAATGCCTACTCTTCTCTAGATCACAGAGTCCCTGTTAGAACCCAACTCTGGGTAGCACACAAAGATCAGCAGAACTGCCATTTCCTCATCTCTTTCCCTAAATAGTATTATGAAAGCTCCACATGGACCTATGTCAGGGCCACAAGTGAAGCCATTAGGTTTTTCCCCCATTAAAAATTTTTTTTGAGAACTATAATGTGCATAAAATGCACATAATGTACATGTTCAGTTTAGCAATTCTAAAGCAGATACCATGTAATAGCATCATGTCAGGAAAGAGCACTGCAAGCATCCAGAAGCCCTGGTGGGCCCTTTCTGATCACAACCCTCTCTCTAACCCCTACAGGTAACCACTCCCCTGACTTATCATCATTTCCTTGCTTTTAAAATGTAGTGTTACCTACATGTCAGCTATATAACAGCTGTCAGCTATATATACATGTTATATGTCAGCCATAAGCAACATACTTTGGTTTGCCTTTTCTTGAATTTTATGTAAACAGAATCATATTGCACATGTGACTCTCTATCTTGCCTCTTTCACTCGACATTCTGTTTGTGAATTTATGATGATGTTGCATTGTAGCTGAGGGTGGCTCCTTTCAGTGCCTGTCTAGCGGGTCCCATAGCTCACCACTAGCTACATGTGTTTCCTGAGGACTTGAGTGTGGTGAAGTGTGACTGGGGAACTGAATCTTTAATGTCAGTAATTTTAATTATTTTTAAATTTGAAAGCTGATACTCAATGCAGTTATTAGAAAACGTTTAAGCATGTTTGCAACAACGTGGGTATAGGATCCTACTTTTTAAACTGCACATTTTATGAAATCTAAATATAGATTAAGTATTTGTGATGAAAATTTAGCAACTGAATTTAGACTTCAAAAGAGTATGGAAAAAGTAATGTAAACTCTCTAAATAATAATTTTAGACTAATTACATATTGAAATGATAATACTTTGGATATTTTGAGGTCTTAGTATAAAAAAGAATAGAATATATTGTTAATAACATACATAATGATTACATGTTGCAATGATAATATTTTAGATATATGGGTTACATAAAACATATTAATCTTTGTTTCACCTGTTTGTTTTTACTTTTATTTCTTAAGTGACTGCCAGAAAGTTTAAGATTACATATGTGGCTCACATCATGTTTCTATTGAATAATGCCGCCTTAGGGTATTTCACTGTATCACTATACCATGATTTATTTATTCCTCTACTGTTGATGAATATT